TCGGCTGCGCCTCTTCCTCTCCTCCTCCTCTTCTGCTGGTACGAGCACACGAATTCCCCCCAACCGAGGCTCCACCGGAGCACTCGGGCGTACGATGCTGCTTGGGACAGTGACAGCGAGGTCCCCCGCAGTGGCCTGGCGCTCTGTTTCCCCCGTGGTCGCCGAGGACCCGACACAACTCAGGGCGGAGGGATCACAGTGGCCCCGGCCTCGCAGTTTCAGCATTGGCGCCACCCCTTCTCCTCCTTTCATTTACTGGATTGTGCGGCTATCTGCTGCGACTCCTCCTCTCCTCCTCCTCTACCGACGGCGCCACAAGATTTCCCCCCCCCCCGAGGCTCCACTGGAGCACTCGGGCGTACTTGGAACCGGAAGGCTCACTGGCAGTGCTCCGTGGTGCGGTCGTGCCGCGTGGCTACCTGGTGTAGTTTCGGACAACTCGGGCCTTCGGCAGTCCACCCCCGACTGTACGATTCCTGCCCCTGGTGCGGGCGCGGTTCGCCACGTGGCCTGGGTGTGGCTCTCGGTGCCTGGTCCTGGGTTACGGCTGGGTCCTGCCCGGCGCGCCACCCCGCCCCGCACCACCTGGGGCCGGACTTGGGGAGAGCGCGGGCCCGACAAGTGGTACATCCTTTGCTCGACGGCCGTCGGTCTCCCACCTGGTCCGCCCCTTTCCGACCGACGCTCGCTGCTTTGTTCCCCCGTCCACCGTGATGGATAAGCTGCCCGCGTTGTTCGCCGGGACTTGGTCCGCCGCTCTCGGCGGGAGCCACCCTCGTGCTCCGGCTACTGCACAAGTGGTTCATCCTTTGGCAGTGTTCCAGCCCTCCTGCAGGAAGGTCCATGGTGCTCGGCCATGTCGCTGCCGCATCCCCCCCGACCGCTGGGGTCTGGCAGTCGCAAGTTTCGGACTCCATGATTGGGTCGGTGTCTCCGTGCATAAGCTGGTCGCTTTCTCCCGACCACGCCCAGGAGTCCCGTGAGTGAGGCGTTCCTCGGTTCCCCCTCTTCTGCCCGTGCGTGCCCTCGCGCCCGCCGCCCTTCCTTGCCCTCTCGCCTCCTCGTCGTGTATGCCGGTGCGGCCTCTCGGTCCCCCCGTGCTGCCACTGCGCAGCGCGCTGCACGCTTAGTTCACGCCGGGCTGTGCGGTTCGAGTTGGCGCCACTGTGCGACTCCTCCACCGTCGTGCTCAGTCTGGTGCCTGCGCCCCCGCTCCTGGGTCGCTTGCATCTTAATGTGGGCATTTTGCCTCTTGCACGTGCACTTGCTGCGTCGGCCTACGTGCCGTCGTTGCCAAGTATCTCGCCCTGTGACCCAGCTGAGCCCGTCCCGCTCCTTGGAGCTGTCCTTGAGAGCCGTCAATCAAAAAAATATCCCAACCGGGAGTGGGCCGGCCGGTTTGCGGCACGTTTAGTTGCTAATTAGGCCGCTTTCGTGACCCGTAGCGCCCCTGACTCCGCTAGCGCCTTCGCTGGTGGACGCGACCGAAAAAGTATCCCAACTGGCCCGCGCTTCGCCACGTTCGGTGGCGCGTCTACCTCTGGCGCCTGGTGGGACAAGGTACAATTCGTCCTCTTCCCGTTGGTCTCGCCTCTGGGATGCCTGCACGCTGGCCGCCTGGCTCTCCTGGCAGCTCTGCAGCCAGCCTTCTGCCCCCTGCGCCCCTCAGCCTCCCTCGACGGCAGCCTCGGCAGCCGTGAATGCGCTCGCTGGGTAATTAGGCTTCGCCAGTAGTCCGGGTCGACCTTTGACACCGCCTGCGCCTTCGCCTGCGGCTGCGAAAAAAAAATATCCCGATTGGCCCATCCAGACACGATCGCCCAGGGCTGAACCCAAACGGTGTTTTGCGTTTTCGTTCCGTTTTCGTTGTCCGTTGTCCCTCGTTTTGTCTTCAATCCGCCTTTACCGCAAAGCGAAGTCGAAAACGAAAACGGCCCACGAAATCGCCTAAACACCGTTCAGGTCCAGTCCTGCGATCGCCAGGTGAGCTGCCTTGACGAGGGCAGCACACAAGCATACAGTGCGACAGCCGCCGTGGACGCCTTCTTTCGGGGGTGCGGGGAGGGCGGGAGCACCAGGTTGAGCTGAGCCGTCCACGTGCAGGTTGAGCACGTCGACCCGGCGCCGTTTCGGCTCAGAGGGGGTCGTCTTGGGGTCCTCTTCGACGCACGGTGGCCTTCCACGGCTAGGTCACCGGGGATGGGGCTCCTGCGCCAGCATGCTGCCAATGCTCTTCCGAACGGGGGAACAATAATACCATAAGATCATGTTGTCTCGGATGTTCGGGGAGAAAAAGGAGTAGTAGTAGTAGTAGTAGTAGTAGTAGTAGTAGTAGTAGTAGTAGTAGTAGTAGTAGTAGGAGGAAGAGGAGGAGGAGGAGGAGCAGGAGGAGGAGCAGGAGCAGGAGGAGGAGGAGGAGGGACAGGAGGATAGGAGGAGGAGTAGGAGGAGGAGGAGGAGGAGGGGGGAAGGGGGAGGAGGTTGCATGCGGCCCTGGATGTGTCACTCGTTGCCAATGCTTTTCCGACTGGGTTCAAAAGACACCGAATATCAGATTACCCCGGATGAGAGAGGAGAACGAGGAGAAGGAGCCCAAGGAGAAGAGGTTTTGGTAATCCTTGGGGCCTCTTGGAGCGTCTTTGATGCCTCGGAAGAGCCTCTTGGAGCCTCTTAGGTATCTCGCGAGGGCCTCTTGGGGGCCTGTCTAGTGATGCTTGGCGCTTTCCCCGTGATGCTGCGTGCCCCTCTGGGCCCTCTCGGGGCCATCTTGGAGGAGATCGGTCAAAGAAGGGGAGGTTACCCATTGACGCCCCCCCCTTTCGGGAGCTCCAGGATGCCCTTTGGGGGCCTTCTTGGACCGCTCTTGGGCGCTCTGGGGGCCGTCTTGAGGCCGTCTTGGGCCTCTCTTGGGCCTCTTTATTGCCATCTTGAAACCATCTTGGGGTCATCTTGAGGCCCAAGAGGCTCATCGGAAGCGAAAAGGCGAGAAACCCAAAAACCTGCGGCTTCCTCACGTGTCTGAAAAACTTTGGCCGTTTGGGGATTGCCGTGGGAGGCTCGAAGGGCACTCTAAACCCTCTTGGGGCTGTTTTGGGCCGTCTTGGAAGCATGTCGGAGGCTATCTTGAGCAACCTGGAGCTATCTTGAGCCATCTTGGAGGCCATCTTGGGCTGCCGAGGGCCATCTTGGAGCCATCTTGGGCCATCGTAGGCGGTCTGCCGACTCGGGGGCCACCCCTTCCAGGCCGAGGGGGCCCAGGGGGGGGGGGTAGGGAAAGGGGTCAAGACTCCCTCCCCGCCCGCAAGCCGTCTCGCTCACCCCCACCCGCCCTCCCAGCACATACGTGGCACCAGAGTCTGGCCCGAGCCTCAGCATATTCAGCAGCCGTCTTTAGATGGGCAGCTACTGGGGGCCAATCCGCCGCCGCCGCCGCCGCCGCCGCCGACGCCGACGGCCGCCGCCGCCGCGGCTGCCGCCGCCCCCGCTGCCAAATCGCCGCCGCCGCAGCCGCTGCCGCCGCAGCCGCTGCCGCCGCAGCCACGGCCGCCGCCGCCGCCGCCGCCGCCGCCGCCCCCGCCGCCGCAGCCGCCGCAGCCGCCGCCGCCGCCACCGCAGCCGCCACAGCCGCCGCCGCCGCGTATTCTGCATTGTTGTTTTACAAGGATGGTGGGGGGAGGCCGCATCGGGTTGGCTGCGCATGCTCCGAATTTGAAGGCAGAATGTGTTTTGTATGGTTTGTGCAAGGGATCGTGGGGGGGTGCCCTCATGGTTCCTGGTTGGCTACCAGTCGCCTGGGGGAGGGGGTGTTCATTGATAGGGAACAATGATCAAGCTACCCACCTGCCCGCAAGCCGTCTAGCTCACTCCCACCCGCCCTCCCAACACATAGGTAACACCCGAGCCTGAGCATGTTCAGCGGTCGTCTTTGGATGGACAGCTACTGGGAACCAAAACCGACCCCATTTGCGCGACGCTGGGGCCCGAGCGTGCCAGGCACGTCTGGTGCACCAGATGCGCCACGTGCGCCAGGTGTGCCGCATACTCCAGCCGCGCCAGGTGCGCCAAGTTCGGGGCACGTGCAAAGTGTGTCAGGTGCGCCTGCGCACGTGACAGCACACATCGGGGAACATGTCGGCCACCACCATCCTTGTCAAAAAACAATGCCCATCATTGTGGCTGGTGGGCCTGTGCACAGCAGGAGGGGTAAACCCCGCCCTCGAGCAGGGAAGGAGGGATTCTGGCAGAGAACTGAGAACAACTCGTCACACCACTCAGCCCAAAGGCTGGTGGGATCCTGGGTCCCCAGAACTCTCAACCGTTCCCCAGGACCAGCGTTTCATCCTGAGTCGCTTCTTGACGGCCCTGGGGGCGGGGACTGGTTTTTCGTGTTTCATCCTGAGTCGTTTTTTGACGGCCCCTTGGCCCTCGCGACCGAGAATTACGAAAACCTCCGTACCGAATATTTCAATGCCTTGGAGGTCTGTGAGCATTGAAGGGGCCCAGGAACACACAAATGAATAGGCACGACTCCCAGGACACTCCATATGTCTTCAATACTGTCTGGATGTTCGTCGCGCCGAAGCGTGGTGGCTCATAACCGGCAGCGCGACACGCTGAGCCAAAGTTCCCGGCCGCACCCCAGGAGTAACAATCGCGGCGGTTCAAGCGGGCCACCTCTCAGCCCCCCGCCGGCTCCAGAGCCAGAGCTGCGACCGCAGCTCACTCTCGGAGGGGACAGCTCTGGAGTCCTGACGTGGGCCCCCCCAATGTCTCGACCCACTCCACGAGCAACAGGCCTCGGAACGGAAAAAGCGAACACGCCTGCCCCTTCCAGCACAGTTCAAAATTGGCGGTGGGTCTGATGAGTTCCACTTCGACCGCAGCCTCCTCCGCGCGTGCCAACTGTTTGGGGGAGCGGGGGAGTGTCCACGAAATTGTTCCCCTTCCGAAGGACCACATCCGCCTCCGCGCCCTCGCGGTCTGGATTCCGGGGCGCGGTCCCGCGGACACGCGGTCGCACGAGGACGTTCCGCGCGCGGCCCGCATCCTCGCGGTCGCGGCCCAGGGGCCCGGGCCCGCGAGGCCGCGGACGCGGATGTGTCCTACGCCCACGCCTTGGGGGGCGGGACGCGGCGGCGGGCAGGAGGTGGAGAAGTGGAGGGAACTGGGGCGGGCGCTCGGCTAAAAAAAAGCGGGCAGAAGGACGCGTGCAAGGCTGAGGGGCCACGATCGGGGGAAACATCGACCTGGAATCGGCGATCCATCGCCGATATACAGATCGGCGGCAGGCCTCCGATGGCGGAGCGCCTCCGCACTCTCCTGGGCGGGGGCGGGCTCCCTGGCCCCCATCGGCGAGGAATGCGCGATTGGGGGTCGATGCGTCCCCGCACCCAGACCCCCGACGTCATGATTGTGCTGAACGTCGACCCCCAAAGGTCTCGGCCCAATCCCCAGGACCGGTGACGGCCCCCAGGGCCGGTCGGGGCCCCCAGAGGCCGAAAGCAGCGAGAAGCCTCCCGCGGTGACTTCTTCGTGACTCGAGGGGGTCTGGGCCTGAGACTGTCCCCCACTAACGCTGCCCTGGAAGGTCGGGTTGACCCAAAAGGGGGTCCAGCGACAAGTGGGTGGTGCAGTAGATTTGGTGCAATAGATTGGTGGGGTTGCAATACATTGGGGCGTGCAATATATTCCAGGGCGCAAAACTATTGCTGGACTTTCGCGTGCAATACATCACTTGCAATACAATGCAATACATCTGGCGCAATTCTCTGGCGCAATACAACACATTTCTCTGGCGCAGTACATCTGCAATAGAATTGCCCCAAATCTGTTGCACCACCCCCGTTCCCCTTTCAGCTGTGCCCCTTTTTGGGTCACCCAAAGAAGGGCGCGCCGAGGCTGGCGGATCGCGGCGCTCGCGGGCGCCCCTTCCGGGCACCGGGGAGGGGCCGCTCGGGCAGAGAGGCGGTCGCGGCAGCGGCGGCGCGCCAGCTCGCGCGGGGGGTGAGCGAGGCGGCCCCGGACTTACTGGGTCGGGCATGTCCTCCTAGAGACGGACTTTGGAAGAAAAACATGTCAACAAGTATTCAGCAGCAGCTGTGATATAGAATGCTGATATCTATACACATATATATGGTTTCCTTCCATTTTTCCTGAAAAACAAATAGAGACGATGTTTTCACTACTTTTGACTACTGCTCCTGTAGACGGGCATGCCCGACATAACCCCCAGACCTCCCAGGCCTCGAGTCAGTGCGGCAACGCGCCGTCGGTTTTCAGCTGCCAGGGGCCCCCGCCAGGCTTCTGGGCCGTCGAGTGCTTTTCCTCGCCCCGCCCACGGCCAAACACCATGAGGTGTATACAGCAGGAGCCCAACCACAGGGAACCTTCCACAAGAAACCCAGCCTGGAGACCCCGGGGCGTCCGTTGGTTTCTGGCGTGGGAACGCCGCGCTCCCCACAGTAGAACCCTCGGCACCCTGGAGGCAGCCAGGGTGGTTCTCGGTAAGATCTATAAGCTCTGCTCAAGCCCGCCGCGCCGTGCGCTGGAGGGCGCGCGCCTGCAGGAAGCCACCACGCCAAGACTCGCGGCAGTGATTTATTCAAGAGCCCAGTCCACTCCCAAGAGAGACCCTTCCTCGTGTGCGCCTACAGGCAGGCCAGGACGCTTCGCCGCCGCTCGATTCCCTGGTCGTGCTCGGCCCCCGGGAACCCCTCGCCGGGCCCCAAAAGGCCTGGCAGCGGCAAACAACGGCTGGGGTTAGGTCGGGCATGTCCCCCTACAGGCGGATTTTGAAAAGAAAACCAGAAATATGCCAAAAGTGCAAAAACATAGTCGAACCTATATATATATATATAGATATGTAAAAATGTATATATGTATATGTGATTATGTAAATGTACATATGTATACATAAAGAGATAGAGAGAGAGAGAGAGAAAGAGACAGACAGAGAGAGAGAGAGGGAACAAAAAAAGAGAGAGAGAGAGAGAGAGGAAAAAACAAACAGGGAGAGAAGAGAGAGAAAAGGACAAATATGGTCCCGTACTATATTTTGACTATTGTTGAATTTTCCTCTTGTAGGGGGACACGCCCGACTTAAGGCTCGGGATGGGGAGCCGACCCCGGGCAAAGGGCTGGCCGGGATTGCCAGGGACCCCGTACGGAATACCTCCCCCATGAAATCCGGGCGTCGCAGGTTTTCTTCGCAGTTGGCGGTTTCGCTCCACTTCGGGCCCAATAAAGGGACCCTCACAGATCGATCCGGCTCGAAGAATGGCGCAGAATCATGGGGTACGGGGCCCCCGTCGCGATTTCCTGCGATGCTGCAATGTTCTTGCAGCGTCGGCTCCCAGGGTCAAGACATCGCGTGTTTTGGAAGCGACGAAATCAGTGCCAACATGCTCTGGCGGTGCCGATCTCTGGTTTGCCTGCCTCCCCTCCACCAGTGAGCGTATCTTTTCCCCTCCCGCGTAACGGTCGTTACCCGAGGGGGGGGGGTCGGGTAACAGCAGCGGCGGCCGCGGCGTGCACAGGGTGCGTCCGCGCCACCGGCGCATCCATCGCCAGCGTGCACCACAGCATGCGAAGGGGGCCCAGGCCCCCCCCAGTACGATCGTCAGCATTACCCAGGGAGGGGGGGGATTGGTCCGGGCAACGAGCGTTACCCACACCCCCGACGTCATGATTGTTTCATGACGCGGCCCCCAGAGCTCCGGACCCCTCCCCCAGGACCGATTTGTTTCATCCCGAATAGTTTTCTGACGGCCCCGAAACCCTGGAATGGCCCCCCGAAGCCGAGAATTGCAAAAAAAACCTCCCGCCGTGATTCTTTCATGACTCGATGGGGTCTGGGTATAACGAGCGTTGCGCTGGGAAGGAAAAGCGCTCACCTGGCGCGCCGCCGGCCATATCGCAGCCCAGGCCTCGCCCCGAGGGCACCCCTCGCGGCAGCGCGCGCCCAGCCGTGGCGGCCCGCCGCGGGAGGCCGCGGCCATTCCGGAATTAGGTGACTTGAGCAGGGACCGAGCGTCCCGGCATTCCTCTAAGCCCACCAGTCGGGCCTGTCTCCCCACAGAGGAATTGCGGAGGAAAAAAATCAGAGGCAGCAGCGAGGAATGGGGACTCCCCGCTGCAATGTCCCGGCGGAAAACCGTGGGTCACGCCCGGAGGCCGCGAGGAGGACATCCACCTCCACCACCTCATCGTCCTCAGTCTTCCGCTACAAGCACCTGCTCGTGCACCTTTTCAAGCATCACCACCCTGGCATCCCCCTCCCCATCGTCCTCCTCCTCTTGGCCATCCTGGTTCTCCTCCTCCTCCTCCTCGTCCTGCTGCTCCTCCTCCTCCTCATCATCATCCTCTTCCTCGTCCTGCTGCTCCTCCGCCTCCCTCACCTCCTCCTCGTCCTCCTCCCCCTCTGTCGCCCAGTTGCGGTTGCGCAGTGTGAAATGTGTCGCCCAGTTGCGGTTGCGGTTGCGCGCCCACGGGCGGGTCGAAATGTGTCGCCCAGTTGCGGTTGCGGTTGCGCGCCCGCGGGCAGGTCGAAATGTGCCGCCGAATTGCGGTTGCGCGCCCGCGGGCGGGTTGAAACGTGTCGCCCAGATGCGGTTGCGGTTGCGCGCCCGCGGGCGGGATGAAATGTGTCGCCCAATTGCTGTTGCAGTTGCGCGCCCGCGGGCGGGTCGAAATGTATCGCCCAGTTGCGGTTGCGGTTGCGCGCCCGCGGGCGAGTTGAAATGTGTCGCCCAGGTGCGGTTGCGGTTGCGCGCCCGCGGACGGGTCGAAATGTGTCGCCCAATTGCGGTTGCGCCTCCTGACGTTCAGTCAGTCAATCAGTCAGTCCATCAGTCAGTCCATCAGTCAGTCAATCAGTCAGTCAGTCACCGGCGGGCACGGAATTTCACCCGGCTCCGCCGGGAAAAAAAAATCACCGCCCCAAAAAAGTGCTTTAAAAAGCGTCCCCGCACTATTTTTGACTATTTCGGAATATTCCCCCTGTAGAGGGACACGCCCGACTGAAGCCTACCACGGAATGTTCTCCGAACCCAAGAACGTCCTGTGAACGAAAACACGGTCCTCAGAACATAAAACCAATGTGCTAAAGCAAGACGGCCCCCAGCCAGAAATGCTCCAAGAACACTTCGGGGGGAAACCAAAAAAAGACAGGCTCTTCGAACACTGCTCGGCAGGCCTGCGGGCACGCCAGGACGCCTCGCCACTGCTTGGAGGCGGGGCGCTCGCGCGGGGCGCGGGTGGCCGGCCGGCCGGCGCCGCGCCCCGCCCCGCACGGGGAGGGGGGAAATCGGTGGCCGAGGAGAGGCTCGGACGAGGTCGGGCATGTCCCCCCCACCGTCATGTTTTGCCCCCTGCGCACGCAAGGGCCACGTCCCAGAAATGATTCCGAGCACCCAGACAAGTGTCGAGGCCGTGTCGAGCGGGTATCGCCTCCCAGGGCCCGACACGTGAAGACCCTCAGCTTTCGGTACTTCCATGGTGCTCGAAATTCGTTCTGGTGGTCAATGCTAAAGTAGGCTGGAACATCAGAACCCCACAGGCGGATGTTGGAAAAACAATGTTTTTAAATGTCAAAACATATGTTGCTATGTTGTAACAAGAGCAGAAAAAGACCCAACGAGGAAAAAAACAACTAAAAGCTGACAAGAACACTCGAAAAATCGGCCCCCGACAAACAGGCGGATGTTGGAAGAACAGTGAAACAAACAGTCCAGACAGATGCCTTTATGCTTTAGCAAGGGCGGAGAGAACAACAGCAACAACAAAAAGCTGCCAACAATACTCGAAACATCGGCCCTGGACTGTTCTTCGCCTCCTTTGGAGTGTACTCCTCCTGCAGAGGGGCACGCCCGACTTCCGGCTCGGAGGGCGCTGCAGCCGTGGCGCGCCGGGCGTGGGCCTCGTGGTCCGCAGAGCCCCGGGGGCCCTCGCGAAAGGTCGACTCGGCCCGAGGAGCGCCGCGGAAGGGTCGGGTTGACCCAAGAGGGGGTCCAGCGACAAGGGGGTGGATGAATGGGCGATTGGGAGTCGATGCATCCCCGCACCCAGACCCCCGACGTCATGATTGTTCTGAACGTCGACCACCAAAGGTCTCGGCCCAATCCCCGGGACCGGTGTCTCATCCCGAGTCGTTTTCGGACGGCCCCCAGGGCTGGTCGGGGCCCCAAAAGGGGGTAGGGTTGACCCAAGAGGGGGTCCAGCGAGAAGGGGGTGGTGCAGTAGGTTTGGTGCGGTAGATTGGTGGGGTTGCAATACATTTGGGGCGTGCAATACATTCTGGGTCGCACATCTATTGCTGGACTTTCGCGTGCAGTACATGACTTGCAATACAATGCAATAGAATTCTCCTGCGCAGTACATTTGCACTACATGTGCAATACATGTGCAATACAATTGCACCACCCCCATTCAGCTGGACCCCCTTGTGGGTCACCCCGAAAGATTGGGTCGAGCTGGAGGCGGCCCGGGGGTCTGCACTCCCAGACCCCCCCCCCTCCTCGAATCCTGAGAAGAGAATCACGATGGGAGGTGTTTCGCTGCTTGCGGCCCCGTGGGGGCCCTTGCCAGCCCTCGGGGCCAGCAACAGAACGACTCGGGATGAGCGACCGTTCCCGGGGAGCGGGCCCAGACCTCTGGGGCCCTGGGGGTGGCGCCATGAAGAATCACGACGACGGGGGTCCGGGGGAGAATTTGACCAGGACGGGGGGCCCAGACCCCCCCGACGTCATGCCTTTTGTCATCACGCGACCCCCGGAGATCACCAGGACCGGAGGTCCAGACCCGTTCACCAGGACCGGTTTCTCATCCCGAGTCCTCTCTTCCTGGCCCCGGAGCCCGGCAGGGGCCCCCAGGGCCCGAAAGTAGCGAACAAACCTCCCGTCGTGACGTTCCCACCGCGCGAGGGGGCCTGGGGGGAGGGGAAGCCCAAGCCGCTCCAGAGCCGTCCCTGGGACCACTGCGGGGCGCAGCGTCTCACCCCGCACCCGGTGCTCGCGATGCCACAGGGCCCGAGCACGGCCCCCGGAGGCCCCGAACACCGAACACGGGAGAAGAGCAAACAGCTGAGACGCAGTGGAGATGGACATACAGAAGGGGCCCCAGGACACACACAAATGAATACACACAAATAATACGATTCCCCATATCTTCCCATACTTTCTGGGTTTCTGTTTTCCCCCCCACTTCCCATATTTTCTGATATTTTCTGGGAGTCGACGATTAATTGTGTCTGTATGTTTTTTCCCCTCCTGATATGTGCATCTTGCCCGCAGGGGGGCGGTCGAGGGGTGCGGGACGGAGGCACGAAAAGGGTACCGGATCGGCATCGTCAGACCCATCCCCATCCCTGCTGGGAAAGCCTCGGGCCCAGTGTCCGACCTACCCCCTCGGGGGACTACTGACCCGGGTCAGTCCAAACCCGGGTCAATCAGCTTTGCAGGATCCTGCGAGATGTTGCAGGATCCTGCAGGATCCTGCGTCGAAACCTGGGTCACTGCAACCCTTGCTCTGCAGGATCCTGCGAGATCCGGCGCTCTGACTGACCCCCGTTTGCATTGACCCCCGTCTCTTGAGCCCCGACCCCCCTGAGTGGGGGTAGAGTCCGGCTGCGTCGGTCTCGCGGTATCCATCCCCACCTCGGAGAGCTCAGGAGCCGTGGCACCCTGGCCCGACGATGATGCTGACGAAGGGGCCCTTGTGGAGCTGCCACCCCGCGCCCCAAAAACAGGCACGCGCTGACATGGACTACGGATCCGTGGATCGGGCGCGTGGGCGCCAGATCCACGGGTCGGGGAAGTACCCCCGTGATATGTGAAGCTATGGACGCCTCATTTGGCGACGGGGCGCGCGGTAACTCTGTAAAGGAGCGGGACCCGTCTCAAATCCGTACGGCTTAACGCATGTTTGCGCTTCCTCGAAGCAGGTGATGGACAGGCACGCCTTCATGGAGGCCACCCGAATTGCGTCCGAAGAGACGGGATCGGAGGTTCCCGCCGCATCGCCGATGCACTGGCGATGTGTCGCGACCCTCCGACCCCGTCTTCCCGGACTCCATTTTCGGTGGCGCACCCCGGGAGGAAGTGTGAAGGAGAAGGCCATCTCATAAAGCGGCGGGGCGTCTCAAAATCCCTCTGGCCTTCTGAGACATCTTCTGCTTCTTCAGGCTTAGATAACACTAGAACCACGCGCGCGCTTCGCGCGCGCTTAGGTTCTAGCTAGGAGGCGAGCTTGAGTCAACGAAAGTCGCAGGGAAGGGGGCAGGGGGAAGAAGGCCAGAGAGCGCTGAAGGATACAAATACTGGAACCCTCTTGTGATTTTGTGGGGGGCCTCGTCCGGCCGCTCGCTGGGAGTTTGACGTAGCTTCTCGGGAGCCTCTGAACCTGTCGGGGGCCTCCTGGAAGCAGGTTCGAAGCATTTTGGGGGCCGATTTGGGGCTTCTCGGGGCCTCCTTTGGGCCTCTTGGGGGTCTCCTGGGGCCTCTTGAGGGGCCTCCTTGGGGCCTCCTGGCGGCCTCTTGGGGCGGAAGGCTCGAGCTTGCGGTTCGTGGTCCCCCTCTGGGCCCCCTCTTGGGCCCGTCTTGGGGCCCTCTTGGGCCATCTTGGGCGCCTCTTGGGCCGTCTTGGGGCCCTCTTGGGCTGTCCTGGGGCCCTCTTGGAAGCTTCTTGGGCCGTCTTGGGGCGGTCTTGGAGGCCTCTTGGGCCGTCTTGGACGCGGTGAAAACCCAAGATGCGAACATGCGAAAAATATACGTTTTCCCATAGGAATGGCACGATTTTTGTTTCTTGGACCTCTCTTGGGGTGCCTCTCGGAACGTCTTGGGCTGATTTTGGAAGCCTTTTGGCGCCTCTGGGCGGCGTTTTGGCGCCTCCTGGGATATGTTGGGCCGGAAGCTCGGAATTCGAGAGTGGCTTTCTCCTTCTGGGACCCCTCTCGAAGTCGTTTTGGGGTTCTCTTGGGCCGTCTTGGGGCCGTCCTGAGCCACTCGTGCGCAGCCTTGGAGCGCTCCCGGAGGCCTCCTAGGCCGTCTTGGAGGCCTCTTGGGCCGTCTTGGACGCGGTGAAAGCCCAAGATGCGAACATGCGAAAAATATACGTTTTCCCATAGGAATGGCACGATTTTTGTTTCTTGGACCTCTCTTGGGGTGCCTCTCGGAACGTCTTGGGGTGCTTTTGGGAGCCTTTTGGCGCCTCTTGGCGGCATTTTGGCGCCTCCTGGAGCCTCTTGGGCCGGAAGCTCGGAATTCGAGGTTGGCTTTCTCCGTCTGGGACCACTCTCGAACTCGTCTTGGGGCTCTCTTCGGCCGTCTTGGGGCCGTCCTGGGCCACTCGTGCGCAGCCTTGGAGCGCTCCCAGAGGCCTCGTAGACCGTCTTGGGCGCCTCTTGGGCCGTCTTGGACGCGGTGAAAGCCCAAGAGGCGAACATGCGAAAAATATACGCTTTCCAAAAGGAATGGCACGATTTTTGCTTCTTGGGCCTCTCTTGGGCTGCCTCTCGGAGCGTCTTGGAGGCTTCTGGGACCTTCTTGGTGTCATGACAGGCGTCTTGGAAGGCATCTGGAGCCATCGGAGCGCGTTCCGACGCCGAAGCCGCCTGCGAACGATCTCGGACGGCGTCCGGCGGTCCGACGAGCCTCCGGGCCACCCGGAGCCCACATTTGTGGTCGAGGTCCCGGCCCCGGGCCCCCGGACACGGGAAGTTCCACGGACATGGTTCCGTGGAACTTCCGAGCCTCCTGATAAGGCCCACCCCCTCCTCGCTTCTCCCCTGGGCTCGCCGCCGACATGTTGGAGGCCTGGGCTGTCTTCACCCCCTCGTGGATGAGGAGAACAGACAAGGCCATAAACATAAGAAAAACTCTGAGGTCCTCGCGGATTTCTCGGATCGGCGCTGGACCCGCCTCGCTGGCGCGCGGAGCGCGCCAGTGGCGGCGCTGGAGGCGCCGACATTGGGCTCCAGCACCGATCCAAGAAATCCGCGCGGACCTCCGGGTTGTTCTGCTTATATTCTGGTCGGGCATGTCCTCCTACAAATCCCCAGATTATTTTTGATCATGTTTGGATACTCCTCCTGTAGAGGGGCGTGCCCGACTTCAGCGTATATCACTGCGCGTCCCCCGCACCCGAAACCCAGGAGCGGTGCATACGCCACGCCCTCCTGGCTTGGCCAAGGGGGGGCACAGACGCAGCTCCTGCCTGGACCCAGGAAGGAGGGCACGGCCAGGGGGGCAGTGGATATGTATAGATCTCGTCGCCCGATGGATCTGACAGTTGGTGAGATCGATGGTAAGAGCGATCGATTGAGGGAGACAGTGGTTCCTCCCTCCCTGGACCTCCTTCTCTAGGGGGACGAAGGATGGCATAAACATAAAAACTCGGAGGCACGCGCGGATTTCTCGGATCGGCGCTGGGGTCCAATGGCGGCGCGCCTCTTTTGTATATTTACATCATGTTTCGTTCCCCTATTCTCACCCGAATGATAGCAGGGTCCGAACGTCCCGGCATTCCTATAGTCCTACCACGAAATCTTCTTAGAGCCCCAAAAATGTTCTAAGAACCAAAACAATGTTCTTAGAACATATTCCCGGTGTGTCAAAACAAGACAGTCTCAGCCAGAAATGTTCTAAGAACATTTCGTGGAAACCACAAACGGTTCTCAGACCTCTCCCTGGCAGGCCTGTAGGCGAACCAGGACGCTTCGCCACTGCTTGACGAAGGGTGGTCGTCCGATGTTCCTTCGCCCCCCGTGCATGGCGCCCCCCCCGCTGCCGCCCGCACGACCCCAAACGATGGCACGAGGCCTGCGCGCACCGCGGCCCGGAGCACTGAGCTTCCGGCCCCGCCGCGCAGAGTCGAGCCGCCACTGGCGGGCCCCGCCGCAACAGCTTTGAGTGCGGCCGGGGCCCGGCGAACAGGTCGGCGGCTGCCGAAGGTGCCCGGGGCCCATGGTGCCCCCCCTCGGGCCTTGGCCCCCCCTGGGGCCCTGGG